AAATCATCTATAAAAGAGTTCACACTATTTTTATTTGCAATTTGCTTCTCAATGTACACCAACAAACAATCGGTAAGATATATTCATCTTCCATCTTGTTTTGAAGGGTAGTCTTCATGATGCTCATAGCAGAAAAAGATCGCTCCGTAGTACTCTACTCGTTTAATATCCGGACTCTAAAATAAGATTCTATAATTAAATTTTTACATGTTAAAATAAACACTAAAGAGCCCTATTCAAGAATTCCTTAAATACACATTCATAATTTGCATTAACTTAATTCCTTCGTTTTTGCTCATAAAATAGTTCATTATTATGATTTCTAAATTATAACATCTTAACTCTTGTTTACAAATCAACCATTTAAATAATAAATACTATTTCTTTATTAAGTATTCACTAAATTTCGAATTAATATCTCTAAGTGATAACACAAATTTGCATTAACTTAATTCCTTCATTTTGGCTAATAAATACTACAGAGTATTTCTTTCAATTTAAATGATTTCAATAGCCAAAAGGGCTTTAAGCCCAGCCGGCCAGCCGTAACTCCCGTAAGGTTGAATCGTTGATGTTTGGCTGCAGTTATGGTGCAAGGATAAGAGCTAATTACCTATATATTGGAGTATTGGAGTAATACTAAAGTTAATTGCACAAATAGGAGTGTCCAACGAAGGAAGGTTTCGTAGGAGTAAATTCAACATGATTAGACAAAAATAACCATGTTTCATATTTTCTAATTTTAAAAATGTAAAATTAAAAATTGTTGCAACCGTAAACATTCAGCTGCTAGCTGCAGCACTCATGCCACCCTCGCCCATATACTTACAGCCGCTGCCCTCGCCGGAAAGGTCTACCACCGCATACGACGCCGGCAAGGCGGCACCGAAAGTCGGCACCCCCAGATAGTTCAACCATCCATCGCTGCCCAGACCAGCATCACCATCTGTCGCTGCCCTAACCAGTTCCACTATCCGCCACTGTCAGTGTTGATTCTGGGGCCACACTTCACCTCCGAGTCAAAACTCCAGCTACATAAATCTTCCATTAAGTTGGAATGTTTTGCTTTGTAGATTAATTTCAACTCTACCATCAAATGATATACAAACCTGCCATAAAGATGACAGATTTATCTTGGAATATTAACACAAAACTGCCATAAATTTGGCAAAAATATAGTCAATAACCAAATATTAAAAACTAATTTTTTTTTTATATAGAATAAGAACTTAATGCAATTTGAAATTAGAAGCACAAAGCTAATAGCAAAAACTAAAAAACTGTCGGTTAACACTAAAGTTTTTTTGCCATAGTAGATTGTCAGAATACACATTTCTGCCATAAACTTGGCAAAATGTGAAGTCATCTTCCAAAACTTTGGAAAAACGATTTTTTTAAAAAACTAAGAAATCAGAAATCAGAACGGCGAAATAGAAGGCCAAACACTAACAAAATTAATGTCAAATCCCAGAAAAATGGAAGAGTAGAAGGAAAATTAGAAAAAATTAATATCAATTTCAGAAAATTAGAAGAATGAGGGAGGAGGAGGATGAGGAAGAAGACGAGAAGAAGAAGAAGAGGAGGAGGAAGAAGAAGAAGAAGGAGATGAAGAAGAAACCTGGCAGCGATCCAAAGAGAAATCGATGAAGTAAATCTGGTGCGCAGAGAGAATGAACGATCTGTTGCGGCGCAAGGCAGGCAAGGATTTCGGCAACGATGATGGTGCGCAAGGATTTCGGCAGCGATGGTGTGAAAGGAGTACCATGGCGATGAATTGTGCGCAGGAACGATCCATCTATGCGCAAGAGAGAGAAGCGGAATGAATCAGGGGCAAATGGGGAATGTAATTTAACGTATGTATACAATAGGAGTAAGATACTCCTATTTAGGGTTAAAAAAATACACACTCCTATTTAGGAATTTCCCATATGTTTTACTCCTATATGAGGCAGTTTCTCTAAGGATAATAGTCAAAAATAAAATGTGATGGGGGGGGGGGGCAAAAATTAAACAATTAATACTACTATTAAAAAAATGGTGGGCGGGGGGGGGGGGGGGGGGGCAGTTCTGTCGTTGTATAAAACTGCAACCGTCCCATTATTATTAATAAAAATAAAACGGTTATTCCCTGCCCCTGACCTACCCGTTACTTCACTTACTTGGTCAATAAGATTTTCCACATTTTGACCGGAACGGCCCTTGGGGTACCCATCTGACCAATCAAAGTTGTCATTATTCCTAGATACATACTTCGTATATAGATAAAATAATTAACTTATTTAATACTACGTAGTCCGAATTTAATTACGGAGTATTTATTTATGGTTGGTACAAAAGTGTTATGCACTTATAAACGTACATATCGTAAGAAGATAATTAAAGAAATCCTCCGGATCCTTAATTACTTTCAATTGAGCCTAGAAAACAATTGAATAAAGAAAAAAATCACGAATATATAGAAAATCAAGCTCGGCCATTGATTAAAAACAACTCGATCCGTATAAATCATGTATAAATATGCATGGAATAATTCCATGTTTCTTTCAAACGAGAAAGCTATTAATTAATAGCTTCTCCATCATCAAAATTCAAAAAATAAAATAAAATAAGACCATTTTGATCGAGAAAGAAATTAATAATAAAATCAACCGGAAAATTAAATATGGCTTCATCAAGAAAGCTGCAGATTTCTTTCTCATCAATGGCCTTGGTAATGATAATAATATGTGGTGCATGGCAGGAAGCAGGCGCGGCGGGAGATGACATTAATTCTAACAAGTCCTCCGCCGGCGGTGGCGCCTCTTCGTCAGTATTCTGCGACGGGTTGCCGGCCGGCAGCGCCCCCTTCTGCAGGGAGGTTCTGGAGGGCGAGACGGAGTGGGAGAAGGCGATCGTGAAGATGATAGGGGCGACGGTGAAGAAGGTGAAGGCGGCGGAGGCAGCGGCAGCGGGGATCGGAGGGAGGCTGCCGGCGAGCATCCCGGAGGCGGACAGGGCGAACATCGACGAGAAGTGCAAGAGCGGGTTCGAGTACGCGCTGCACAACCTGCGGCGGGCGATGAAGAGGATCCGCGGCGGCGTGTACGCGCGGACGGACAACGTGGTGTACTCGGCGTGGGCGGGCATCTACGAGTGCAGCGGCGCCCTCAACCACTTCAAGGTGGACATGAGCGAGGAGCCCTTCAAGGTCCAGGATCACGCGGAGAAGGCCGTCGCCGCTTGCCACGGAGCGGTTTCCAAGGCCTTGGATGCCGGAGGCTTCAACAATCCACCACTTGAAAATTAATCCTTTCATTTGTACTGTATGTATTTGCATAATGCATGGCGGCGCGCGCAACACATACATATGTCGTACGATATCCATGCATAAATTTTGTGAGACTAATTGAATTGAATGGATGTTTAACCATTGATCTCCAAAGTCTCCAAATAATATTAAAAACAATTACTAGTACGATTAAGGATCTTTTCTTTTGGACTGAAATTTGCTGGTCTGGTCTGGTCTGGTCTGTTTAAGTATGGTCTGGTCTGGTCTGGTCTGAACTGGTCTGGTCTGATCTGGTAAACGTCTAGTCTCTGTGTATTTTATATCTACGGAAATCTGGTCTGGTCTGGTCTGGTCTGTTTAAGTCTGGTCTGATCTGTTTAAGTCTGGTCTGGCCTGGGACTGAAAACAGTCCAAAAGAAAACATGTGGAAGGCTCGGAATTTGCTACCATATGCTATCGTATAGTACTACGTATATGGGTATGTGAGTATGTCATGAAATCAATCATTTGATGTATAATAATAATGGAATACATAATAATAATATAATAAGGGATTTTTTTCTTTTCTTTTTATATGCTTCCAAGTAAAAATAGAAATTGAAACATATCTTTCTTTCTTCTTCTTTTTCAAAACAAAAACAATTTTATTCATGATAAAATAAAATTACAATGCTAGAAGACACAAAAAAAGGAGAAATACATTAAAAAAATAAGGAAAAGTAAAGACAAGACTAGACCCAAGGAAAATATGTGGATTGTGATCTGGTCGTCATGCTATGACGCCTTTTATTCTTCTAAGATTTTCTGTAGATTTTCAGTTGGGTATTCAGGTTTTCCGTTGGCAAACAGTTTTCAGAGGTGACCAACTTTGATTTACGGCAAATCGTTCTATTGAATTTAGACTTCTTAATTTCTTTCGGATTTGATAGAGGGGGACGACGATCGCTTTCTGTTGCATGTCCAAGAAAATCATCTGAATAGAAAGAGTCATCTGAATAAGGGATGTTTTAAACATTCACAATAAATTTAAAAACTTACACTAAATGGGAAAGGGGAGGGCGGCAAGTTGAGCGGAATGAGGAATGATCATGACAGGACAAGTCGTTTAACAGCCTCCATTTGAGTTGAGATGTTTCCGGGTGGAATTTTTGTGTGTAATTTTGTGCTCATTTTTTCATGAAGTATATATATTATATCCTTTAAATTTCACCATGAAATTCACTTGGGAAATGAGTTAAATAAATTATTGAAAGACATTATGCTAAAGTATTTATTAAAAAACATAGCGTTTTTCAATATTTTATTTAATTCACTCCTCAATTGAGTCTTAAGATGAAACTTTGTGCACATAATCTACAATTCATGAAGAACGTGCGCACAAAATTTCATCAAAAAATCAAACCAAAAGCAGCTCAAATGAAGGCGGTCGGGCGACGATTCTAGCTTAGCCGACCTAACAAGAACATATACAATAGTAGGGAAGAGTTCAAATAAAAAGATGTGCTCCCGTGCAAAGTGCGAACAGTTACACGTTTTCCTCACCATGTTGCACTTTTGCATGCTTCTGTTGCACTTTTTTCAGTGGCAAAAAATTTTGATTTATTTACGAAACTATCACCACGTTTTTTTTAAATCAAATTTAGTACATTTTTGGCTCATTTTGAGTCATTTTGAGAATACCTCTTTGTATTCGAATGCTCACTGCGAGAGTGTATACTGTATTTATTTATAAAAAAATCTCAGCAGGTCCCCCGTCCCTCAGGCCCTACACAGCTAAGTATTCGCAACTTGCTCGATTGCTCGAATACGCAGACCATGTGCGACCATAGCAGTTATCGAACAGTTCGGAGGAAGAAACAACAGATGAAATTAAGAGAGGCCTGAGAGAAAGATACGGTCATCTTCAAGAATTAAACTTTTTTCCACACATCGAAGTGAACCTGTAAGTGAATCTGTTTTCCGTAACTGGTCATTGTTGTCACTGCTTCTAAGTAAAGAAAATACTAGTCTTCAGTTTCTATTGACACTTGAAAGGAGATACAATACTAGTGAGCAAAAACTTAATTTTTTCACTTGGATTCGGTAAAATCAAGAAATTTGACCCTCTCCTGATGGGAATGAATAGTTAATTATTTGCCAATTAATTTAGGCTGTAGCAGGGAGATGAAATTATATAAGCAGAAACCCGAAATCGCAATGGAGGAGAGCAATGGACCTCCCCCAAGATTGCCCACTTCAGTTATGCATTCTGTTTACTCACATTTCCAGTCAAAAATTGGAAAGCCCCTAGAGGTTTGTCACCTGTGATCAAGAGTCATTGCTTTATGGGGTTCTCACCACTGTGTTCCAATTACTTCAAGGCTTTGTCTTTTTGCCATTGCAGGTTAATTTTGAAAGATTGAAAAGGGGCGGAGATGTATTAATGGCTTCACTTGTTAGAAAAAATGAGGCATCTCTGGTCTTAGATGTTGATCTTGAGAACCAAATGCAACCTTGGAAAGAGAATCCTGTCTGGACTGATCATCCTCCAGATATAAAGGTAATATTAATCTGAGATATCCATGATCCATCTGGTGAATGACACTTGTTTCAAAATCTACTCTTCTAGAATCTATGCATCGTTAACAAGTTGACTGGACAGATGTTTTGTTAAAAAAATGGTTCAGCAAGGTATTTAGTACACTCTGTCCCCGATTAAACTTCTCACTTGATTTTCTGGACGTCCCTGCTAAAGCTTCCTATTTCTATTTTAGGAAATAATTAGCACTCTCGAATGAAAAATTAATCTTCAAATGTTAAAAATAATACACCTATAACATTATAGTTATCATCAATGATCTCATTATGTTATATACTCATCAAAACTATTTCTCAAAATATACTCGAATTACCTTATTTAATTATTGTCTAAATCATCGTGCCATTTTTTAGCGAGAAGCTCAAGCCGGTGCGGAGGTAGTATTTTAGTTGAAAAAAATGTTCTCCAGTTTTTCATTTACTACTACCCCTGTTCCATTTTGTTTGTTCTATTTTCATTACGAGGTTTGACAACATATGTGACCCAACATGACCCAGAAAATATATTTAAAATGTTTACGGACAGAAACAGTACTATACTAAGATCGGGGTTGACTGGCTGAACAAAGTGAAATTGACGATTTAATCATCTTTATTATGTACGATTTAATCATACTATTAGGATAGATTCACCCCTTTCCACCAATTAATAGATGTAAAGCGTTTAGGAGGCTGGAGTCTTCCCTAATAATATTTAAATTAGTACTAATTAAAGTTACATATTAAAAAAGTATACTAAATATTCTCTTGTATTGCGAAAAAAATGATGCCCAAAACCTGAGAATTAGGAAGTATTATGTTGTGCTGAATAGTGAAATGACGCAACATAGAAAATATTTCTTTTATTAGTAGGACCTTCTCAATACCCCCTGTTGCTGATGTATTGTTCATTTGTTCCTGACATTATCATCATCACCTTAATCTCATTTAAGTTGGAATTGTTTGTGTAACTTATAGTGTGAGTTAATTGTCTAAAACTATTTCACCCATGATGTCATGGAAAAAGAACATAGTAGCAAAGATTTGCACTGAATACCTTTCCTACCGCAACCTTATTGTGAAGAACAATTGAGATGAAATTCCAAAACAATCATTATCATAAGATTTTGTTTAACTGGGTGGAAAATGTGATGAGTCAAGAATGAATTTATATGGTTGTTATGTTGTAGTCATGTATCATGACAAGGTATATATTGTAAAATCTACATACACATCCTGGGATTAGTGTTTTGCTTTTATTCTTCACATCTTGATTTTTTTGTCATTTTCTAATCCTTTGAATGATTTTTGCAGGTGACCATACCTGAAGGTTCACTGTGCAAGATGAACGTAACAGTGGATGTTGGATTGCCACCAGATGCAGTTTACAACATTGTAACTGATCCTGAGAATAAGAAAGTTTTCAAGAATATTCAGGTATTTAATGTGCTTTTGATGGCTCCAATAAAGTACCATGAGAAGCAGAATTTGGATTTTTTCTTTTCCGTATTTCTTGCAGCTTATACTCTCATGTGGTTGATATAAGGATGATAATTATCCAACAGAAAGTCGTATCAAGGAAGGTGTTGGTTGATGAAGGGTCAAGGCAGGTTGTGGAACTAGAACAAGCTGCTTTGTGGAGATTCCTTTGTTGGTCAGGGACAATATCAGTGCATGTCTTAGTAGACCAGAATAGAGAGGATCGCACGGTATTTCTTTGGGAAAATGAAACTGTGCACCCCAATTTTTGGTGACATTTGACTTTGCACCCTATTTTCAAAATCATTAATGTATGCACCCCAATTCACTATAAATGATTTTGGGCTAATGGGTTCCACACATAAATGATTTTGAAAACGGGGTGCAAAGCCCAATATCGCCCAAAACATGGGACGTGAAGTCAAATTATCCCTATTTCTTTTTTTATTTTGTGGCATTTGCGTGTGAGTTTCATTTCATCCAATGCCATTAATGCCTTAATCCCTAGTAAGTTGGGGTTAATATGATGATATTTAAAGATTGTTGGTAATATAAGTTAATGCAAAAAATAGAAAGTGAAGTTACATGAGGTGTGTAGAACTTACATAACAATACTAATAGTTTAGTTAGAAAATATTCCACTATGAGTCCCAGTGTCCCACAACTATGAAGTCATTTACATTTCTGGTCCCTGACTTTATTCTTTTCCTTGTCTTGGCGCACCACTATGATTTATTGATAATTTTGTTCCTTCTCATCAAAGATCCTCTATACAATCAATGAGAAATTGTACAATTGGATAATTTGAATTGATAAATAAACAATTAAAGTTACCCATAAATATGAATAATGATATTATCTTATGACTTTGTTTTACGTATACTTAGATATAGTTGATTTATCTGATGTTCCGTTTTCTGTTATAGATGAAGTTCAAACAAGTAAAAACTGGTTTCATGAAAAAATTTGAAGGTTGTTGGAGAGTTGAACCTCTTCTTGTTGATGAAGATGTATGCCATCTAGTAAGACCTAAGAACTTGGCTGATTATGTTTTGTGCACAAAAGGAAAAGGAAGGGTTGGATCAAGGTTAAGTTTGGAGCAACTTATCCAGCCTGCTCTTGTTCCTCCCCCACCCATTTCTTGGTACATTAGAGGAATCACAACCAAGACTACAGAGATGATTATAAATGACTTGCTAGCTGAAACGGCCAGGATTCGAAGCTCATCTAGCATGGAGAATTCGAGAGGTTCCGTGGTATCATCCAATGAGAGGTCTAGTGAATCACAATTTGAAAATCTAGGCAATATAAAGGAGAGATGGGCATCAAGAAGAAAAAAAACAAGGAATTGTGGTAGAAGACTGTCTTGCAAAGATTCTGCCAATAAGTGATGCATGCTTGTCAAAGATAATAACCCCTTGTATACAAAATTGATGTATGTAACCTTAGGCCATGAGACATCAGGTCAAGGTTGTGTAACATGTCAGTTCAGAATCTTGACTAGCCAGATCGGTTCAAAAGTCAGACCAAATCAGAAAGTTAAGTCCAATTAATAACATCCTAGGGCTCAAAAAGAGTATAACTGTATAACTGTATACAAACATTAAGATTGGTATGTTTCAACTTTCAACTAGCGAGGACAATTAAACTCCCTTTTAGTTCAAGCTCGAGCTTTAAATTGAGTTGAAACAATCACCGATCTACTTCAGTTAGATTGGAGCTGCTTAAATATAAACTATTTTTTCATAAAATTACAATTATAACCCTCAAATCTAAAGTATAATTAAAATCGACTTCAAGGCTTATAAGAATCCAATAAATAAGTAAATTTTTAAGTTAATCTATCATTTTTTTGGAGGAACATCTAACCTATTATAGTATTTATTCTATTATTATGCTAACATCTTGATTGAGATGACACTCAAACATGTGACTTTCTCTTTGAGAATGTCACAAGGATCTTGACAATTAATCGTAGACGTTTATTATTCCTTGTCCCATAAAACTTGACTAATTTTCTTTATTTAAAGCAATTAACTTGAGATTAATGTTATTGCTAACTCACTTGCATAAATCTTAACCACGTAATTTTTTTATTTCTTATATCACGCGTGTAAATTTATTTAAGCCACTCGTACTGGAGGGAAAATTGAGGGAATGTGTATAGTTCATGCTATTTTTTGACTTAGTGAACATTTTTTTTTTACCAATTATGTAATTTTTAATTTTGTGCGTTGACATGTGTAATAATAAAAAAAAATTGGAGTTGTTTTTCATCTTGAATTGGATAAAATGAAAATCATGATATTTTAGCTCCTAGTAATTTTTTGTATAATTATCTCATTATTTTATTAATAAAGTATATTTTAAATACTCTGTATAATTTTTTCATTATTATCAAAATTCAAAAATATCTGGTTGAATTTCACAAATTTCAACTGGTTCAACCACCCATTTTGCCCGGGTTTATCAGAATTCAGAAACGAATGGGTGAAGGAAGATCTGCGGGAACCAGTAAAAGAAAAGCTCTTGTAGTAAATAAATATGTTGTCCAAGAAGGAGAAGTGCTTTAGCAGAAAGATTTGAGAAAAAACAAGTGGAAATGGAAGCACTGCTACCATCATGTACAACTCTTACGGCGATGAGATCCTCGCAGCGTTGTCTTCCCGTTGTGTTCACAGAAAAGTACAGAAGAAGAAAAGCAAGTGGTTGGAGCCGTAGAAGTCAGTTATCATCAAGTGATCATCAGCTCCCATTAGAAATGCAGGCTTGGACTTACGCAGAGTATGGAAGCGTCGATGTTTTGAAGCTGGGATCCGGTGTGAGAGTGCCGGAGATGAAGGAGGATCAGGTGCTCGTCAAAGTGGCTGCTGCTGCTCTCAATCCGGTTGATTTCAAACGCAGGCTGGGCAAGTTCAAAGCCACTGATTCCCCTCTACCCGTAATACCCCACTCTCATCAGATTGTGAATTTCATACGAAATGATTTACTTCCGGTCTTACCACTATTGTGAATTGTGACCATTTGGTAGGTTACTACATTTTCTTGCCTATTGGCGGTCCTTCCCTCACACGCAAAATCAAGCACCGTTTAACAATTTCAGAACCAAAACTGAAAATGTATAAACTGCAAATGTGTAATTTGGTCGGAATCTGGAAAGTTACCAAGCAGCATTTTGTTTTGTCTCAGACTGTGCCTGGGTATGATGTTGCTGGAGTAGTAGTAGGAGTTGGTAGTCAAGTAGAAGGCCTAAAAACAGGTGATGAGGTTTATGGGAACATAAACGAGAAAGCATTGGAAGGGCTGAAGCAGTTTGGTTCCTTAGGCCAGTACACTGCAGTTGAGGAGAAGCTGTTGGCTTTGAAGCCGAAGAACCTGTCTTTTCCGCAAGCTGCTTCTCTTCCTCTTGCAATAGAGACTGCTTATGAAGGCCTCGAAAGGGTCTGGTTCTCCGCCAGGAAATCTTTACTTGTTTTGGGCGGTGCAGGAGGCGTTGGATCTCTTGTGATTCAGGTATATGACAGTATTTACAACAGCGTATCACTAAGATTAAAATGCTAGAGGTTTTAGGATGGAATCTCAATTTTTAGTAATGTTAGTTATATTGTGATGGTCCAGGCATTGCTTTGTTTGTATGATTGTGCAGCTTGCCAAGAATGTATTTGGTGCTTCAAAAGTAGCGGCAACATCAAGCACCGGAAAATTGGAGTTGTTGAAAAACTTAGGTGCTGATTTGTCTATTGACTACACAAAGCAGAACTTTGAAGAGTTACCATACAAGTTTGATGTCATCTATGATACAGTCGGTATGTTTTTTTCATTAAGAGTTTGGGTTCTATCTCAAAAGGCGAGTCTGCAAGACATATTATGTTTGTATGAATTTGAAAATGCAGGGCAGGGAGAACGGGCAGTTAATGCGGTGAAGGAAGGAGGAAGCGTAGTTGTACTAACCGGTGCAGTCAAACCTCCCGGATTCAGGTTTGTAGTCACTTCAAAGGGGGAAGTGTTGAAAAAACTCGCACCGTTCCTTGAAAGTGGGAAGGTGAAGCCGGTGATTGACCCCAAAGGTCCCTTTAGATTTGACCAGGTTGTGGATGCATTTTCACACCTCCAAACTGGGCATGCTACAGGGAAAGTTGTCATACATCCCATTCCATAAGTATATACTACTCCGTAGTATATTGTTAGGGGAGCTCGAGTATGTTGTTGCCTACTGCAATTGGTATTGGACAACACTGTAGTCATGGTTTTTGAGTGGGAATGAGACCACTGACTAGTCAGCTTGATTCCAATCACACAGCTTTTCCGTTTGTTCTGTATTGCAATGGCCAAATGGCTTTGAGGTCATGCCAACATCCCCATTGGAGAGTAGTGAGGTATTTTTTTTTGCATTATTAACAAAGAAAATCGTATGTCCGAATCAATATTGTACGTAATGTTTTACACATATTTAGCTTTTTTTTTTAAATTCAATTTTCCAGACTAGAACCTTTGGAAACCGGACATTACCCAGAACCAATGATAATATCGAACAAGAAGCAAACTTCCCCTCCACCTGTTTCAGCTAAGGCTCCCTTTATTCCATGTCTGGGATGACCAGTCCAGAAATATAATTGATTGCATTCACCCAAACTATTTGCCTATAAGACTATTATCGTACAATAACTACTCACTCTAGCAAGAAGTCAAGAACGTCCTTTCCTCTTCTGTTAGACGCCCAAAAAAATCTTCCCTTAGTTTCTTTTAAAAAGAATTGTTTTGACTTGTATTGATTCTTTTTTATCTATACAAATCGTAACCACAAAAATTGAATGATCTAAAAGGAGGGTAAATAGTAAATAGGAGAGTCGTCCAGATCAAACTCCAGAATATAATCTTGTTTTTTTCTTTGCATAAACAGAGTCTATTGTGCCGTTACAAAATGGTACAGTAAATAATGTTGAACATCTGCCCAATGGTTTAGTCAGACTTCAATAGAGTAGCACCATCATTGCATTGTGTAATATGTTTACTTCCAGTAAAGTTGTAAAGATATGTGTAGTATAGATTGCTGTAGTCCTCCATATCATTTGTATGAGATGAGGTATACACAAGTGCCTGCAATGAAAACTTGAGGCAAAATGCCGTAGTAGTTGTAACTAAAATCAGGTAAAGCTTAGACCTTGAGAGAAGGTGTAAGGCTGAAATCGAGGTTCCAAAGCTCAAAGGATCCATTCACAAAATCATAGTGTCCGCCTTTCAAATGAAGAGTTTTACTTGCCACAGCCTCTCTCACAAAAGGGTATGTCAACAGATTGCTCAATGACACATTCACAGCCTCCTTCAAAATGCCCAAAACATAAATTTTAAAACAAAAACTAGTGATTCAAAGAGTTATGGACTTGTGGTTGAAGTTCAAGTGCGAAAAATGTCCACTAAACATTCTTTTAATCTCTAAACATTCTTTTAATCTAATTTTGTATTATAGTTCTCAGCTCACTGAAATTTTATCAGAACTCCTAGGCATAATATGAGTTGAGGTATCATTGTGAATTGTGATACATTAGGGGGTTGATGTACTAAAGTCATACAAATCAATAGCTAAGGTACCAATTGAGCATTTTACCTCATACACATAGACCAATGTTGGCCAAAGCCCAAAAGTATTATTAGCATTCCTCTTTGATGAATGTCTTGTGTGGTTTGTATTGGTTTTTATTTTTATTTTTACATCAATCACAAAAAATACATTTTCCCTTTTACAAAGTACTCCGTAAATTTTTGGGACTGAAGAAGTAGTTAATTTCACTTTCTCTTCCTTATTTACAAAATGCATGCTCAAAGGGAAGATTTGTTGAGTGAATGTGCTTCCAAAAAAGTAAGGGAAAATAGAAATTAATAATCCAACCTTTTAGCGGTCTTCTTACAATAGTCCCACTTTTTGATTATTCATGAATAATCCAACCTTTGCACCTCATCTTCATTCACTGGTCCTTGACCGATTGATGACCTGTTATTCCAAGTTATTTTCTTATCTTTACAAAATATTATCTTTGTGAAAGGTGAGATTTATGGTATAATGGTTTACAAAGATAAGAAAATAACTTGGAATAACAGGTCATCAACCGGTCAGGGACCAGTGAATGAAGATGAGGTGCAAAGGTTGGATTATTCATGAATAATCAAAAGGTTGGACTATTATAAGAAGACCACTAAAAGGTTGGATTATTAGTTTCCATTTTCCCAAAAAGTAATGGATTAGAATGAGATGATAGTGACAAAACTCAAAAGTGAGTAAACAAAGCCTCTTAATTCATGAATGCCACGGCAGAAACACTAATTATCCAAAGATAAATCATATTAGTAGTATTACCTTTTCCAACATTGTGCATTGGGCATCAAGGTCGAGATCACTGCATTCAGATTTAACTTTTTCCTTGGCAATCAATCCGATTTTGACCCAATCCTCAATAAAATCACTGCATATGTATTCAAACAATGAATGAATTGTGGAACCAGTGACAAACTCCATTTTGTACGTACATACAGCTAGCTGTGGATTCGTTGGACTGCACCGCGATAATTAGACCATTTGTAGTGGTTACAGATTAGGAGTCAAAAAATTAAATATGGAATTTTTAGACTCTTAATTGAGTG